AGAAAACATTATCCTAAATGTAACGTTTAAATCAAGTTCATTTTACTTTAATTTCAAATAAAACTTTTATTTTTAATAAAACTTTTATTTTAAATAAAACTTTTATTATGAGTAACACTTTTATTTTAAATAAAACTTTTATTTTAAATAAAACTTTTATTTTAAATCAAACTTTTATTTTAAAATAATATTAATTTTAGTTTTCAATAATCATCGGTTGTGAATACTAACTTCTGTATTGAGCTGTATCTTTGAGATAATATTTAGATTATAAAGTTCGACATTTAAATTTTTTTTAAAAGAAAAATTTTTTTTAAAAAGTTCTTAAAAATAAAAAACTCACAACTTGGAAGTCGTAGCTTTCAAACAACTTACAAAATATTGTTGCAGAATTTGTAATCCAAAAATTATCATGAAGTGAAAAAATGATACCTTAAAAATGATACCTTAATGATACTTTAAAAGTTAATTATGTATACAAATTTGGCACTTAAATTGTAATGTTAGTAAAATATTTATATTAATTATTATCATTATTAATTATTATTATTATTATTTATTAATTTTTTAATTAATTTAGAAGTATTAATGTTTAGTTTTTTTCATTGTGCTAATAAAAACATTCCTCAGTAATTATTATAATTATTAATATCATTAATAGTATTAATATCACTAATATTATCATTAATGTTATCAATATCAATATTATTGGTAACAATTTATGTGAACCAATTCTATGGTTGATTAATTATATATCATTTTTTAATTTACTGCAATGAAATACAAGTTAAACGTCAGTTGATTAAATAATAATAGATAGTAGTAAATGATAACGAGTTAGGTTGATAATTGATCTTAAAAGATAATTGTCTACTATAAATAATAGTTTTTTTTGTACATTCCTAAGTTTTAGACGTTACGATATATCTGTAACGTACCTTTAAGTGGCATTTAAAGAAAAGGGTTCTTTACTGTTAAAAAAAAGTTTCTAGAAAATTTTTAGTTGAACTTTTCTTAGGATCACGTGATTTCCCCACCTGAGGGTGTATATTTTTGTGGTCAATAATAACCAAAGCCGGTTATTTCTTTGTGGTAGAAATTGCCTTGGTTTCTTAGAAAATCTATTGATTGTTTGGGGATAACACATGGTCAAGGTCAACAACTTATTATGGTCGTTCACGTAATTAAGGTTCACTTCAATTTAAGTTCAGCTACACATTATATTAGTAAAATAACAGAAGAACAATAGCTTTTACAAAGAAGATATTAGCTGGCAATAATTATATGAAACAAAATTTCATTTGAAATATTCAAATTTAGTGTTTGATTGCAAGAATTTCTTTCAAAACTATCTAATAAATCATCAGTTTAGAATTAATTTGACATACATTGCAAGAATTTCTTTTAGAACTTGCTAGTACAATAACTGTTTATACTATAAAATATTCCGGATAAAATTACAATAAAAATTACTGGTAAAGAGTACCGTAAAAATAAACTGGTGTCGATATTTTTTACCGTAGAATCCATTTTTACCGGAGGATGTTACGGAACAAAAACTCCGATATACCGTATTTTTCACAGTAATAACTACCTTAAAATCACTGAATCACTCGAATTAAATAAATATTACTGGGAAAATTACGGTATAATATATCACGGTAAAAATGGATTTTATGATAAACTGGATTTTACGAATGATGCACCCAAGTGTCAGTACTTTATATCGTAATTTGATTTTTAAAAAAACTTAACAGTGTACAACTAAATTAATTTACTAAACTAATCTTGTTGCCTTATGAACTCGTTATTTTTACAGCAAGTTTCACGCTGTTAATTAAACTAAATTTTCTAAAACAAGAATTAATTACGAAAGCTTCGGAATTACAGGCAAAATATAATTTTTTCAATTGAAATAATTTATTGGATTTCTATTCATTAAAAAAGTTTTATTTTTCTTAAATATATTGTTTAAATAACTAAAGTTATTATCCACAAAAACGTTGTGCATACATATAAAAATTGGTAATGATTTTTAAAAATGTTTTCTCAAACATATATTTTTAGATTTAAGGATTTGAAGAATTTGCAACTAAATTAATTTTTGAGGGCTCGAATAAAATTTAAAACTTCTTCTATAGAATACTTTGCATTTTAGTATTATGTGTTTAAAATCACTAATATTTGACTCTAGCGAATCAACTCACTCTAGCGAATAAAATATTCATCAGCGAATAAAATCTAGCTAAAATGCACATCAAATTATTTATTTATTTAATCTTCTTAACTGAACCCGCAAATTCTGTTTCTAGATAGCCCATACTAAAATGCTGCTATAAGGTACCTTTGATAAAAATAAAAATTCACTTATACTAAGATGCTGTTATAAGGTACCTTTGATAAAAATAAAAATTCACTTACACTAAGATGCTGTTATAAGGTACCTTTGATAAAAATGAAAATTCACTTATACTAAGATGCTGTTATAAGGTACCTTTGATAAAAATAAAAATTCACTTATTATTGATATGTGCAGTATTTTCCGTCTCGAGACTTTTATTTACGCACAAACATAAAAATGATAAAGACAGAAATATCCTGCTATAATGCTACCATGTTAATCTACCAAAATATAGCGAGAACTATTTTTTATAACCATTTACATGTATTATTTTTCTTCAACTCAATCTAGTAACTACACTGTGAAAAATTTCGGATCAAATTACTGTATAAAGACCGGTATTCTGGGAGCATTCTCCGTAAAATGCTTTTTTCGTAAAATCCGTTTTGACCACAAAATATTTTACGGTATTTTTTACAGTAATATTTATTTAATTAAAGTGATTTTGTGATTTTACAGTAATACGGTTTTATAATGAAAAAATAGCGATATATCAGATTTTTTGTTCCGTAACATGCTCCGGGAAAAAGAAATTTCACTGTCAAAAGTACCGGACTCCTCAGTGCTGGTTGATTTTACCGTACAGTGATACTGAATTTTTTACAGTTTAAGCTAGATCAAGAAAAGTAAATATTTGATAAATGCTTTCTAAAAACAAATTTTGCAAATTTTTTACCATTAAAATTTACATGGAAGATCGTAATTTTAAGACGTTTTAAATTCAACTAATCATTTTGAAAACATTTTCTCGGAACATTTTCAAACATTTTTCTTATTTTAATTTTAGAGGTAATCTGTAATAACCTTGAATTTGGAATCTTTTACTATTGCGAAAAGCAGTTTGATATGTAAAAGTATTATTAGTTAAATGTTAAAATCTATTATTATTTATGTTAATAACTATTACATGTTAATAACCATTAATATTTTTTTAACAAACTATGTATTACAAATTTATAAGTATTATAAAAAAGTGAAAAAGACATTATAAAATCCATTCAATCTTTGTCTAATATTATTCCGTCTAGCCTTCTGGAATTTTCTAATTGCGTATCTGAAAGTAATAATTATTTCTCTCTATAGTTATATTAGACTATTGTATTTTGAAAGTTTATTTAGTTTTAAGGGGTCATATGCCAACACCAGAATAAAAATTAGGTTCATATTTTTAAAATATATTAATGACAGTTATAAAATGAATTTGTAAAACTCAAAAACATTATTTGTATCAGCTGTTTTTTTTAAACTTTCATAAATAGTGTAAAAAAACATGAAAGTTATTGTCCGTTACTTGTGAAACTAATCCACTTGCAGTGAAAAAGCAACAACCAATATTTCTGCTACAAATAAAGCATTATTTCTCTAGATAAAGACCTACAAATATTTCAATTTTTTTCCACATTAGTGAATAAAAATAATATTTTTGACAAAATGGTTATGAATCAAAGATCTCTTCTTTCAGTTAATTTTTTAAATTTTTAAATTGTTAAACAATTTAAAATCATTGTCTAAATTTAAAAAAAAAAAACTATAAGACCAACATCGGGTTTGATAAGTGCGAAAATAGGTAAGGAGAAACATGTGATGTTGATTTAAACTAATAAAAATACTCATTAATAGGACATTTTTGAGAATGACTAGAAAAGCATATGAAGCTAATCCAATGACTTCTTTACCAGACCAATAACTTCGAATACCTGACCAATTCACTTCTTAGACCAGATCAATCACTTTTTAGATCCAGATAAAGCCACAAATGAGCCGAGAAATTTCAATTTGTACAAAACTCTTGGAGTTAATACAAATTTTTACAGCAATGTTTTTTGACCCTCGTAACACATCATTTTCCTGAAAAAATATCCGAGCATGAATCGTAATCCAATTATAGTTTTCGTAATCCAATTATTTACCTCTGCGCAACCAATTTTTAATTGTGTGTATAATTTTTAAGCTATGAAGAACCTGTGGTAACATTGTTTAAAATTCTATTCTTTAGAATCTCTGAGTTTTTGTATCACATGAAACAATGGATTTTCAAAAATACTTGGTCTTTTCCATGATGATGTCTATTTCGTAGTCGTTTCGTTATCTTCTTGAAAGTATATAAAGTATACGCTCCCTTAAGAAACCACAAAATTGTATTGCCGTATTTAGTGAAATCTGATCCAGATGTGGAATATAGCTAGTAAAAAGAAAGAAATAACCAAGTCCTTCAAGGTTGAATAATTACAGTTCTTGAATCTTAACCATTGATTGAATGAAGATATTTTCCTTAATGGAAACTAGAAATCTTACATAATATAAATTTCTTAACAGGGACCAGAAGCAACAATAACGTTAAAACGTACCAAAATTATTCATATTATACATTTTTGAATATACAATGCATATTTTGTGATCGTGAATATTTATGAGATTTCTTGAAATGGCCATGTTGTTACAAAAAAAGCATTGAAAACTGGTTTTAGAAATTGTAGTTTGTATTAAGGATCACTTAAATATGAAATAAAAATAAGGGAGAATGTTGTACCTCCGACCAGCTTTAACTTTTTAATTTTCATGCATAAATTAATAATTTTCAAAGAAATTTTAAAGAAAATGCATCATTTGACTTTTATTACCTTTTATGAATAAATTATGAAATTTCAATAAAAAAAAAACTTTCTCTTAAAGTAAGAACATTTTGACTAAGGTGGTCTAATGTACAACATGGCGCTGGCTATAGCTTGGACCACCATATCTTGTACCTTTGACCTTTGAATGTTACTTCTTGCATGACATTCATTTCCATTCCTTCTTCTACGCCTGTTAGTTGAATAAATTTGGGTTTTCATGCAATTGAAACTTAGTTTTCAAACAGCCAGTATAAACTGAAATGAACCAAATTAATCTTAAGTTTAATCCCAATCATAATTTTTCTTTGAATATTTTAAAAGCGTATAGTTTTACAAATGACATAAATAAACTACTAACTTTTAAAATCATGATTGCGGCCAGAGGCCATATATATTAGAAGAAAAAATGCACAGACAGATCCTCATTTCTATGGTCCTGATTGCTTTAGGACTAGCGGTGAAATTTGCTTATAGGGGGGAGAGTAGATAAGTCGGAATCTAATAAGAAAGAATGCCAATAAGATACCAATAAGAAAGATAATATAACACCATCGACAGTTCAAAATTTAAACAGTGTTAGAGTTTTGCTCAGTGAATCATATATATAATTCGAATTAAATCAATCAGATCCAGATTTGAGAACCGATTTTAGTCAGTTGACTCGAAAACAGGGTTAGCTAGAATTGCTGATAGTCATTATTATTATCAAGCCACATGTATAATTTCATAAAGGCCAAATTAAATTTGAGGTGGATTTAAGTAAATACGAAAGAACTACCGTATAACTTCGATTTTGCATGTTGATTTAATCGAATTACTTAAATGGAAATTTACAAAAGTAAAATAAATTTAAACAAGAAAGCAAAATGGAAACAAATAAATAAAGTAAAATTAAGCAAAGGTAATTTTTTGCTTTAGTGATCTTTTTTCTGTACGAATTCCATAAATGCAAAACCTTTTATATTTTCACTTAAAAATCATTAAATATTCTATAATTTCAAAAGACATTTTTAATTTATATCACGAAGCAATAATTTTGAATAAAAATAATTCTAATCTGGAGCAACCCAATTTTATTTTATTTTATAACTGGCGTTGAACAGTAGATCCAGTTTTGAGTTTTCGTTCAATATCCATATCCTTGTAATTTTGAGTTCAACTCGGAAGACAAGAGAACTCCTAGATCAAGCATCTGGACAAAGTAGCCTTCGTGTAAGGCTTTTTGATAGAACTTACCAGCATTTGCGTTGTATGGAGATAACAACTATAGAAACCTCTCACAGTTACCCCGACTGCAAGAGTATTCTAACCGATGATCCGTCTATGATTGAGGATATTTTATGTCAGAACTGTGATCTCTGCTACCCAGAAGCAAAATTAGAATCTACCAGCCACCATTGGAATTCTAGCCTGGATCACCTTATTAGGAAGTTAAGGCTCCATCCTCTGAGCCACCACGACTCTAGGATATTTTATTGTGATTTATATCTGTACTCGATAAAAACTTGAGAATCAATCAAGATTAAATTCAATCACTTATTGGATAGATTAGAGCTGATGATTGGAATATAAATTACTGTTCTGAGATGCCAATTTAGTGATTCGAATCTCCAAATAAATGCTCATAAATTCATAAACCAATGGAGGTAATAAAAAATGGCAAGTTCTAAATATTAAAAAACCGAATGCTTTTAATGGTGAAAACTTTTTTAGCTTAAAATTATTACCTAATATAAATATAAGGAAAATAATAGATTCTACAGTTACCGCTTCTTTTATTGACGTATCTTTTACAGATACAAACTAACAGACATTATGTAAAATCTTGCTCGAAACCTGTCTTTATCTGTCTAAAATAAACACAATTCGTAAACAACAACAATATTTAAATATATAATTAAGTAACTAAGAAGGATACATTTAGATTACGTCAAGTAATTACTGAATCACCCTGAACCCTGACCCTCACAAATGATGGCGAGTTCCGAAAAAAGAATATGTTTACATTTAATTTATTATGTAAAACCAACAACCACTCTTCTGCAAAAACGGGATTGAAAACGAGTATATCATTATATACTATGAATATTTTCCATTAAATTTCGAAGGTTGTTTGCACTGCATGATTTTGCTGCTGTTACTATTTCTCATTAGCAATTTCAGCTGGTGTTATTCAGCCTTCGGCAAAATCGTCTGATAATGTTTTGTGTTGATTTTATTAAAATCAACACAAAATGGAATAATAGATTTATTTTTTAAAAAAATATTCCTAATTACGTTTAGTTTTGTGAAGATTACATTTTTAAATATTTCAATAAAAGGTTCTTTGATGCATTAAAAGTAAAAAGGAAAACCGTCCATTTAAAACCAATATTTGCTTAAATATACTTAAAAACTATAAAATAGAATAAATATGAAAAAGATCCCTGATTCAAACTTTGGAAATGACATTGATTAACTAAAAAAAATCACGTTAACAAGAATATATTCCGTGAATCAAATATTTTCTGAGAAGATGTCAATGAAATTGAGTTTCAATAGGTAAACTCTGAACTCACAGGTTTAGTTAACCTTCTAGTAAATAACAATAAAGGATTACAATATACAGAAACGAGAATAAGATTTGCATCATATTGTACAATGACTGTACATTTTTTTCCGCACCTGCTTTGTGAATGCTGTATTAGCATAGTGAATTATATTATTGCACAGTGAGCCAGCATCCAAGGTTTCGTGGCCAAAATTAGTACTTCGATAAAACTTGTTTCAAAATTTGGGGGTATTTATTTAGGGGTTTTTATGAGCAGGTAAATTGAATTCATAGTTGAAATTTTGAAATACACTAAAAATACCCCAAAAAACAAACAAAATGACGGCTGAAATATGGCGACCAAAAATAAAAAAATTAATATAGTGCGTTTAAATAATTAAATATAGCAATGAAAATATAATAATTTTCGTAATTTTATTTTAAAAATGAAAAGCAAATTATATTTCCGAATTAATAGTACAAATTAACGCGAATTAATTGCAAAATAAAGCGAAAACATGAAGAAAAAAACGTAATTTTTGTTTTTCGGTATATTTAGTCCACCTTTGCAATATGGGCAAAATGGGGCAGGTTTTTTCGAAAGAAGAAATATCAAAGAAGACAACAATAAAAAGTTTAGCTAATTACCTAGTGGAATTTTTTGGAACTAAGTTTCGAAAGTCATTCAAACATTGTAAAATGTCAAATGATAAGATTTAAACTATAAGTTTGTCAAGAGTATTAACTAATCCAACAAATTGAAAAATTGTACTATAATTTCAGACTAATTACTCTGATAAAAATGTAACAGTAAGGTGAAATTCCTATATATATTTCTGAAGTATAAATTTAAAAGTTACTTTAAAAAAAATTAACATATTTTTCACTACATTATTCTCTCGTCGGTCCAAAAAATAAATTATAATGTTTGGAATGATTATGAATACTTAATTTGGGCGATATTAAAACTGCCTATTTTGCGCTTTATAATCATTGATAAAACTAATGAAAACTTTGAAACTAATAAAAAGATGATGTAAAATCGATTTCATATTTTTTAACTGAGAATTATCTTTATATATGAGCTGATATTACCTTTATATGTTCAGAGATTTCAAACTAACTTATAATATTTCCTTGCAACAATTTCTTCTCTTTAGCGATAAAGGTTTGGCTCTGGTCTTTATATTGAAATATAAAGACCAATATTTTTATGAAGTCCAAAAGAAAGTTTCTTTAATAAAAGCGTTTTTTGTAAGAAAATGCCAAGATTTTCTTGTTGATAAAAATATTTATATATTTATTATGCTACGCATAATAAGCACACGTCATAAAAATATTATATTGAAAAGCATTGGGGCTTATCGCTCGAATGGTCAAGTTCTTTCATTAGTATTTAGGAAATATTTAAATGTTTACAAATTCCTTTAATATGTAAACTGAATTGTATGTGTTATGTATTAATAAATCACAACTGATTTTGTAAATTTTGATAAAAACAAATAAAATGTGTTTATAAATATTATGCTTTAAGCTCAACGACAGTTTTTTTATTTATTTATGATCGTAATCAGAATGATGTCTATGCTACAGCAGCAAATTACAACAATAAATATGATGTTTGAGCACAAAAAGTCGTTTTCAAAGCGAAGAAAAATCGTTTTAAATTATCTAAGTCGTTTTCAAAATGAAGAAAAAATTATCTTCTGTATAAAATATTTAAACTTAGGAAAATAATTCTGTCAAGTATCAGTTTCTATCATCTGTCATGCATTAACTGTCTTGTTAGATGATACTGTAATAAATTTCATGCATATTTCAGATATCATAACAGCGATTCAAATCAGATTTTCAAAAAAACTGTCAAAATAAATATGTTTTATTCAACTTCAAATGCATCCAAAGAAGAAAAATAACACAATATTAAATGTCAATCAATTTTGTTTCCTTTTCAAAAAGATAATGTTTTTCTTTCTTTCGTTATTTATTTATTTATTTGCATTTTATAGATGATACTTTATTCAAATAAAGCAATGAGAAATACAGGAAGAATAAAAATATAGCTCGAGGCTAATAAATAAATTTAAAAAGTATTTTTATTTTCTGAGTTTTTTTCAAATGTTACAAAAAGAAGCATTTTTTTAAAGAAATAAAAAACAGGATTATTTATAAAACAAATTTATTCCGGGTTCTATAGTAATGGTTTTTTACGTGAACTTAATGAGAATAAAAAATTTCATTCTCAATTGCGAAATAATGGATTGAGTTTCTGATTACGAACCGTTCAATAATTTGATTTTAATCACTTTTGTTTCTTTAATTTGATATTTAATCAAATAAGTGTTGATTACGCATTATGAATTTTTACTTCCGGAATATTAAACATTTATTTCCTAATTTGTTATTTATTTTGTAAAAAGCATTTTAATGCCTCTGTTTTTCTTCGAGCAATCTTACATAATGTTTTACGCTTTATAATCATTTCAAAATAACTTTATAGCTGAAGAAATTCTTCAATATCTAGTTTTTATTTTATGAAAATTCGATAGTTATTGTAAAATATTTATATATCTAAAGTTATTAAATTCCTAACTAATTATTTATTTCATAAAATTGTATACTTTATAATTATTAAGCCTTTTTAATAATTTCACATTTTATAATTATGTATATTGATTTCGAAATCCATGCATATTTTTTCTTAAATTTTTCAGTGAAAATTTTATTTTAAATAGCTACTATGGAAAAAATTTCATAACTGAAATGGAAAAATTCTCATATCACCATCCTAGCCTAGCGTCAATAAAATTAAATAGAAATTATCGAAGATAAATAGAAGTTTGAAAAATAAAGTTATAAAATATATATGGATTAGAATCAAATTATGGGGAAATCTCTTTACGTCAGATGCAACGGATTACAATCCTTTTAAACATTACATATAATGTGGCACAATGGTAATGATAAA